CCAAGTACTGGGCTGGGGCTATAGCTCAGTGGCACAGTGCCTGAGTTTATGGGTTTGATTCCTGGAACCAAAAAAAGCAAAACAAAACAAAAAAATTCCCCCAAAAACCTAGCAGTGAAAAAATTATATATATTTATAATATATTGTGTGTAACGATGTAATCATTGTACCTACAATGATTAAGTCAAGCCAATTAATATACTCATTACCTCATAAACTAATCATTTCTTTGTGATATAAATATTTAACATCTATTCCTTAGCAGTTTTCAAGTATACAAACTATTATTTTTAATTGTAATCACCATGTTGGTGTACAATAGGTCTCAGTTTACAATAGTGTACAATAGGTCTCAGTTTATTGATCTAAATGATACTTTATACCCTTTGACCAGTCTTTTCCCACTCTCCCACTCCTGACAAGTACCTTTATATTTTCTTCTAGGATGAGTTCAGCTCTGGGAGTAGCAGAGCAACAGTATCGTGGTCCATCCTCCTGTGGGATAAAGGATGCAGACATGAAGGAAGCTGGTGCCGAAGAATATGATTACACTTGTAACTAAGCATGCACAAGGCCCATTTTTAGTAGTCCAGGAATGAGTGGGACAAGAGGTAGAAGTAGACATATGTGTTGGAGCGTGGAGGCAATGACCCAGGAGAATTGAGGTAATAATGTTTTCTCAAAGTTAACTGAGCCACAGGAGGCTGAGGCCTGCGGGCGGACATGAGCTAAGTTCACTTAGCATATATGTGCATCTGTCCTTCTCATTCACTTTACCGGTTCACATCTAGGCTGTTATGTCTGTAATAGATTCTTGATCGGTCTCCTTTCCTTCTCTCAGTCAGCCCCAGGCTATTTTGAAAATGGCCCTTTGAAATATTATAAGAACCTAAATAAAGAGATGCACATACACGTTGGAAGTTCAAGGGCTAACAGAGAAAGTGATGGAGAGGATGGGGATAGAGGGAGAGTGAGTCCTTCCTGTCTCTACCCCACTGTCCAGTCCACTCCTTACCACCACTTTGCAGATAAACGAAAGGGAATGTGGCTTGCACAAGTCCTGGCCAGTCACATGTGAGCCTTTTGTTTTTAAATCCATTCAAAATACACAAATAACACTAGGAAAAAAGTCAAGCACTCATGTTGTTTAAAAGCTAATGTATCGATAATTGGGCAAGACACTGTCAGATCGCTAGCAAAATTTCTTTCTTTTCACGTACTCTCAAAGTTTCAGTCCATTCACATCACCTAATGCATTTGTTTGACTTCCCTGGGAGCGCATACCGAGACAGGCATTCAGGAGCATGTGTTTTAGTAAAGGTGTATTTTAGGGGAAATGCTCTGTAAGAGGGAAATGGAGTAGAATACAAAGAGGAAAGTGGCAGTGCAAGGAATGTAGTTTTGGAGCACAAGGGAAGGTGGGAGCAGAGGTATCTGGAGCATAAAGCACACTGCTCATTGTAACTTATACTCTGTCTCTGGCAGTGTTGATACTGGTGAAGAGTCTGGGTTGGAGCCTTCTGGTAAAAGTGGTTCTTGTTGGTTGAGAGCAAGTTGAATATGGTGCTTGTGAACTTTTATCAGACAGCCCTCAGAATATCTGAGAAAATTTGGTGTACAGTCCAGTGACACTAACAGTATCTACTGTAGTTCACCTTATTCAGATCCTCTGCTTCTTGCACAAGTTCATCTTGTTAAGGTATAGCTTATACTACCCCATCCTACCCACTAGTATGCTGGTGGGTCAGAGTTTCTGAGAAAACATGCAAGAGGAAGGTTAGTGGGAAAATACTCTTGCTGTTGCAGCCGGTCCTGAAGTTACAGCTTGTGCCCATTATCTCCATCCTTTACCAGTGTTTCTAGATTCTTCTCAGCCTACACCATCACTTCTGCTAGTCTTGGTGGCTTGTCTTTGTTCTCCTTTGTCAGCTGGTATCTTATTCTCTTTTCTGTTGGTAAAGCAAAACACCGGCAGCTGGGTACTTTACAAAGAATTTTCTTACTTTATGCATTTGGAAGTTGGAAATCCAAGGTCAAGTGGTCCAAACTGGCCTTTGATGAGGCCTCATGACAGATAGCATTGCAATGGTGAGAGTACCTACAGAAGACAAGACAGGAGGCACAGGGATTAAAGGGCCAAGATATTCTTTTTATAACAACTTTTTCTTGCAGAACTACATTAATCCCTCACAGAGGACGTATTCCTAATAACCTGATGTCACCTCTTCCTAAGTCCTACCTCTCATTAGTTCCCTCTTGTTACTGGGCTCCACTGCCTAAAGATTCTACTGCTTTTCAACATCACTACACTCAAGGACAAATTTCTGCCACACATATCTTTGGGGGCCACACTGAAGCCATATACAAATCACAGCCGATGATTATAGGGAACTGTTTCATAAATGAGCCAGTGGAAAAGCATTTGTGCAGTAGTGATAGGTGTTCTGAGAATTTTGGCCACTGGTTCCTGTGGTTTATTTATGATTCCTGGACCTGCTTAAGCCAGATATACAACTTTCATGTTATTATGTATAATTCTCTATATAATCTTATGGTATATAATTCTCCATGTGTCCTCCACATGCAGGACTAAGGATCTGTACTGTGCTCCATGTAGGGTTTTTATGAAACTTTACTAGACACCTGTTCCAACTCTGAATCATTGTATCTGCCAGCTAGTAGAGTTGAGAATCACTGGGTCCTGCTCCTAATCTCTTCCTTACTCTGAGCTTTATTCAAAACTTTAAAATTATTTGGCAAATGAGTCAAAGTAGTATTCCTAAGTATGAGCTACACTCCCCGAAATCTACAGGATCATATTAAGCACTGTATTTTTCCCTCCTTTGTGATAGATAGTACAAGGTATAATAAGTCTTTTACTTTGGAAAGACTTTAGGATTACCAAGAACATTAGATCCAAAAATTTTACAAGCAGCAGGACTCTGAATCTTTGTAGCATTTATAAAATATATGGAACCTATATATTTTATAAAGGCATTGAAACTACTTGCCAGTTCTGCCTTATCTGGTCGGATTAACATGTCATCAGAATAATAGATCAATATGATGTTCTGTAGAAGATCCAGATGTTTTAGAGTGCTTTGGGATTATATTAGTTTTATGTTACTATAACACAATATGTAAGGCAGGCTTGCTTTAGGAAGCTCACTGTATTCAATGGGATGGCACCAGCTTAGCTCAACAAGTCTTTGATGAAGACCTCATAGTAGATAGCAAGAACGCATGGGAGGGGGAATCACATTGCCGAGCGGGAAGCCAGAAAATAATTAAGAGGTTGGCTCACTCTTAAAATAACTCACTCTTGAGAGAGCTCAGTAGTTCTGCAACAGCTATATTGTCGTGATTTAGATCTGAAATATACCTCAAAAGTCTCATATATTCAGAGGTGGGGTTTTTAGAAAGTTAGTGGACAATGGGTGTTCTGTACTCCCCTCCTCCTCTCCTTTCTTCTCTCCCTGCTTTCCTCTGCCATTTCCTCCCATAATGTTATTTCTGCCTTGGAACCAGCCTCCATGGACTGAAGCCATTAGAAACTATAAGACAAAATAAACCTCACCTTCTTTAAGTTGTGGGTGTTGGGTATTTTGGCCTAGTGACCTCTTTTGAGGGCAGCTTCTCCTAGTGACCTAAGGACATTCCACTGGGTCCTACTTCTTAAAATTTCCACCTCCTCTCAGCACTGACACATTAAAAGATGAAGTTCCTGGTTCATGAGCCCTTGGGAAACACTCAAACCATACCCAAACCATAGCAGGGACTTCTATCTAAAAGAACAGGGTAATGTGAGTGTATATTTTCCATCACATGTAAATGAGACTCTGACTATTTTTCCTGGTAGGATTGGGAAAAGAATGCATTAGCCATGTAAATATCCAGAACCTTTGTTAATATTCTCTAGTAAAACTGACACATTTGGCATAGTAACTATAATTAGGGCTACTACTTAAGTGTGTATTACTCCCCTACTTTCTGTTATGTTTCTTTTTAAATTTTTTTTTGTCTTTTTTTTTTCATTTTTATCGGTATCGGGGATCGAACTCACGACTGCCTGCTTGCAAGGCAGGTACTTATGCCGGTGAGCTAAATCCCCAGCCCCTCTGTTATGTTTCTTCAGGTATTTTTAAGGGTCATACAAGAGAATTGCCTAAGAATAAGCATAAATATATGGGCCTGAGTAGTGACCCTAATCTGTCTCATTGTTGCCCTGGGGAGCAATATTGGTTATTAATGTGTTATTTTAGTTAAAGGTAGGGTAATTTTAAGGGCTTCCAATTGACTTAAAATAGGAACTAAGAGTGGCCAGTGTGAGATTTTCGCAAATTAATATGTCTATTGCATTTACCTATTGGAGAACTAGAGAAAGGACCACTAAGTAGATCCATGGGCTCAGCGGATCTACTGTGATATGGGTAGGGCTGGGTTAGGAATCTGTTTATTACCTGTCCCCAAATGCCTGTGTTCTAATGGGACTTCTGGATGATATTTTGGATCTCTGGGTACCAGTGTTATTTGGGACTCTCTTCAGAACATTCCTTCAAAGATCTGAGTTCCCTCAAATATGTAGTTATTTGAGTAATTTACCCTGGACCCCATTCAAGGTGCGTTAATGTACTTATTGTAGTATTGAAGCTTCATCAGATTTATTCTTATTTTGACATATATCTTAAAGTTTTATAATTTCAAGCTACAGAAAAGTTGCAAAAATGGTACAAAAATTTTCTATATACTTCTCATTCAGATCCCCCAATGCTAACATTTTACTATATTTGTCATATTCTTTTCTTAGTTATAGATAAATGTGTATATATCACCCATTTTTTTCTGAAGTGTGTAAAACTAAATTTCAGATGTGATTCCCCTTTATTTCTAAACATTTCAGTGTATATTGTTTAAAATAAGGAATTTCTTTAAATATTCACGCTATACTGATCAAATCATAAAAACCAAAATTAATATAATACTATTTTCTGGTCTAGAGACCTAATTCAGATTTTGCTAATTGTATCAAAAATACTTTGTAGCAAAACGATATCCAGAATCATAGATTACATTCAGTTGTTATGTTTCCTTTGGTTCCAATAACCTATAGCAATTCCTGAGTCTCTCCTTGTGTTTCATGAAATTGATGCTCTTGAAGAGTATAGATGGGTTCTTGGATAACACGTCCCATAGTTTGTTGATGTTGCAGTCAGATTCAGGAAATACATTTTTGACAGAATTATCATCAAAGCAACATTGTACCCTTCTCAATGCATCATATTAAGAGGCACTTGGGTATATATTAGTCCTATCAGTAAGTGTTTGTTAAGTATACCTGTCAGTCTCCTTTTACTTTAAAATTACTCTAATATTAGTTTTAATATACTCCATAATAACCAAATGTCCTATGAGCATGGCATTTGTGATTGTGAAATCGTTGTATTCTATTTCTTATCAAATTTTCATCACTGTATTAGCAATTGGTTATTATTGCCTGAACCAATGATATATATTTGCAGCACTGGAGAAGATGCTTGTGAAAAGTTATATCTAAGTTCATTGTTCCTTCCATATTATCTGATTTCTACTGCAAGACAGAGATTTTCTTCTCCTTTATTTATATCCGTGTGGCCCCTGTGGATCTTTACTGTGCTGTAATCCTTTATTTTAAAGTTCATATTGTCTCAAATTTATTATTTTAAAGTTCATATTGTCTCAAATTTATGTTTTCTCTTCCAGTCAGTGAATTCTGGATCTGAAAACTTAGGTTTGGAAATTGGAGGAAGATTGTGGATTTCTGTTGGGGAAGCTGATCTCAATCTTCTGCTCATAATATATTCTTGATCTCCTTTAATAATATTAATTCATACTTCCTTGACTGTTTATTTTGCCTCTAAGAATATCATGTTCTATAGATTCTTACAGGTCAGCCAACCTTGGGTACCACTTGGCTTTTCTCCCTATGATGGAAATTACAACCACTTAGCTTCTGGCAGCTAAGTGCTAATACTAGACTTCTGCTATTTTGCAATTCCATGATTCTCCTAGCTAATAATTTACTCACTACTGAAACATCATCCTCTACCCATAGAGGACATTTTACAGAAGATAGCAATTTCTGAGTGTTTCTGTAATACCAGAAAAACTCCTTCACCAGTAGACTTCACATTATCTTAATAACCAGTGACCACTGAGCTCTTCCTAGAAAGCTACTCAATTAGTGAGTTTTATGGTACAAAGGATAATAATAAATCCATTTTATCAGGCACATTTCTCTGCGCCCTTGAACCTTCCTCCACGGCCTACTATGGTAGTTCTGTTATCTCTTCTTCACTTAATATGGGCCATTAAACATCCCAGGATTCCAAGAAGCATTCTAACAGCAGATCAGGAAAAGCCTTTGTAAATTTTCAAGGTGGCAGAGTTTGTCCATTGGCTCCATGTGGATAACTTTCCTTTCTCCAGCTTTATACTCTGCTTCCCTTGATCTGGTACCCTTGAGGTTCATGTGCACACAACTTCTCTCTTTTCTATTGGCACACCTGTGCCAGCTCCAGCAGAGCTTTCAATATATAACCCTTTTCATACTTGAGAAGATATAAACTTCTCAAGTTGTACCATGCAGAGTTTTGATCATAGTTCTTGCTCTAAGAGAAACAGGGTGTAGGATTAGATGCTGAGGAGGGTAACCACTCTCCTGTAAGGCAGCAGTCCCTACCTTTTTGGCATGACATTCATTCTATAGAAGGCAGTTTTTCCATGGACTGGGGAAAGAGAAGATGGTTTCAGGACAATTCAAGTACATTGCATTTATTGTGTACTTTATTCTTATTATATTATAGTATATGATGAAATAATTGTGCAACTCATCACAAGCACGATCAGTTGAGGCCCTGGCCTTGTTTTCTTGCAACCAAACATTGCCCCCTGGGGATGATGTGAGTCAATGACATCTGAAGTATGGCATTTAGGGGTCCAACATACTCCATAATCTATTTTCTGGGTGGGGTCAATACAGAAAACCCCATTTCACAAAGGTCAGGTGTTGAAAATAGAGGTAGGTTTCTCAGTGCTTTTCATGACAATCTCAGGATAATCTACCTCAACTTTAATTCAGAACATAAGGAGATTTAAAGTTGCATCAAACATATTTTGAAAGCCATCATCATTTGTGATTTCAAGCAGTTGATCCCCTTCTGGCACAAATTTGATTTCCTGTGCTTATTCACAGATGGGTTGTGGATTCATTCCTCTCTAGTTCAGATGTCTTCTGTGGTTGGGGTGTAACACTCAAATTCTTTTGAATGCTGAGATAGGTGATCATGCACCAGCTGGGAGGGAGAAGGCCCTGATTCAATTTCATTTAAAATCTTTGCTAATGTTTGAAACATGTTAAAAATCCCGATGTTCAGCCTTCAGCCCCATAATTCCATTTTAGCTATGAATGCAAATACTTTATGTGCCAACTTGAATACAGTTTCCCTTCTTCCCTGAAGCAACAGATTGAGTTTTTTGATCAGGCCAACTATGTCACATGAGTAAGCAAGTTTTGTGACTTATTCTGTATTGCTGAAATGTGCTGTCAGTGGTGACTGTTTTTGTAAAAGAAATTTCTGGAGTGGCTCTTGTAATGCAAAAACTCTGGCCAGTAATCTGCATTTAGAAAGATATCTCACTTCTGCATGCAGGATATGTGTATTCCAGGTCAACCTCCTTATAGAGCTACACCAACAGATACAAGTTAAGGATATACAGTTGAACATGGTTGATAATTTAAATCACATCTTACTAAATGTTAAGTTTGGGTGACATTTTAGAGTTAGCCGGCATTTCTCTATGGATGACAGTACATAGACTCACGTTCAGAAGTGATCTCTTTGACCCAAATAGTGAAATCAGAAAGTTGTCCCATCATGGTAGCTGCTACCTCCCTACAAATAGAATGACTGGAAAAAATGATCTATTCAGTTTTCCTGATATGTAATCATTCAAAGAATTAAAAAGTTCTGTAGCTATGGTGTTGGTTGGCCCACAAGAGCCCATAAAATGTCCTCATGCATATCCCTCTGAAAAAGATATTGTAAAACAACAAGAAGCATTGTTGCCTTCTTGTCAACACTGACATAGAAACCCAGATTGCTAATGTTAATCTGCATTTGCAGCTACTTCCCAGAATTAGCATCACCATCTTGTCTTCCTATTATCAGATATTAGAGCCTCATAAAGAGTGTGCAACTTAGATCCCATGCACATACAGTTCAAAGTAGGGCCCACACTCCTGTGAGAATCTAATGCCACTTCTGATCAGACAGAAAGCAGGGCTCAGGCAGTAATGCAAGCAAGAGACAGTGGCTATAAATACATGATGAAACTTTATTTGCTTACCCACTATATAGCCCAGTTCAGTACCTGTCCATGGCCCCAGTGCTGGGAACTCACACTCTCAGGTATCTGCCTACATTGACGAGGGGTAACTTTTATGGAATCAATGTACTCAGGGTAGTTTGAAGGACTATTTGGGTATGTCTGCCCAAATAGTCTTATCCTACTGCTTCCATATGAGGGCCCTGGATTCAGAAGAGAGGACTTGCTGGCACTAAAGATTTATCTGTTGGGATTTTGATAATATTAAAATTAATTCATGATTTCATCTTCAACGTGAACAGCCCTCTGGCTATAATGAATCAGAGTTTCTTTAATTATAGTGGGAAGATGAAGATGAAGTGCTTTTGCACTTTGATGACTGATTAACTTGAGCTTATTATTTCTACCTTTTAAAGACGTAATAGCAGCCACCACTTCCACAGTGCTTTCAGTAGGCAATTCCATCCCCTTCATGTCTGCCTCATACTTGAATTATTGCACAAGCCAACATATCTCCTCAACTTATATTAGATATATGTCTGTTTTAGTCTAGAGCTGAAATGTCCACCCAAAGCTTCATGTGTTCAAAAGTTACATTTTTGGAAGGTGATTAGATCCTGGGTGCTATGCTTATCTGTGGGTTGATCCACTTATGCGTTCACTGCTGAATGTGCTTTTGAGAAGTGGAACCTGGTCAGAAGAGGTGGGTCACTGGGAATGTGACATGGAAGGGTATATTCTTATCTTCCCATTTATTTCTGCTTCATGGTGACCATACAATGAACCACATTCCTCTGGTATGCCTTTCTATCATGCTATTTCTTCCTTGGAGCCATGGACTGAATCCTTTGAAACCATGAGTCAGAAGAAGCCTTTTCTGCTTTAAATTATAAGTGTCAGGTGTATTTTGTCCTGAAAACTGTGAAGTGACAAACATACTTACCAATCCCGGTGCCTATAAATGAAATGTTTTTCACTTTATTTTGGTAGTAATTAATATACTTTATTTTGTATAGCCTTTTTGAGACAAGGTTACACTCTGCAGTTCAGGCTGCTCTTGGACTCACTTTGTAGCCCAGTCTGGTCTTGAATTTGCAATGATCCTCTTGCTTTAGCCTCCCAAATGCTGGGATGCACAGTTATATTTAAAGAATAATTGAGCATATAGTATATTAACTTCTATATACCTATCTATTTTGTTCTTGCCCCACCTCAGGTCTTCAACTACCTCAATATTTTATATGGACATTTGGGACAATTATTTAACTAATATTGATAAAATATCCTGAATATACGCTATAGTTTACATTAAGGTTCACCTACAGTAAGTATGCTGTGCTATGGGTTTTGGCAAGGACCCAGAATCTTTTTTTTTTCCAATTTGCCATCTTAAGCTTTTAATTTTTAATTGTTTTAAATTTTAAATTTTTAAAAAGCAAAACAGAAAAAAGGGTAGAAATAATACAGAATTTCAAAAAAATAACAGAAATCAACACTAGTTAATACATTTTATACTGTAATCATAGATGTAGTTGTTCAAATTACATATATATTTTTTATCCCAAGCTTTTTTGAAGTGCACAGTTTAGTAGTGCTTCATAGTATGTTCCTGGGTGTGAAACAGATCTCTAGATCTTTTTTTTTTTTTTGGCAAGGCCTTCCTGTGTAGTTCCTGTTGGTCCTGAACTCTCTGTGCAGTCCAGCCTGAACTCGAACCTGGCAGTGATCCTCTTGTCTCAAGCTTTGGAGTACTGTGATTAAAGGGGTACACACCACATTTGGCTTGTTTAATTTCTTTCAGCAATGTTTTTTAGTTTTCACTCTACGAGTCCTTTACCTCCTTGATTAGGCTTGTTCCTCATAATTGTATTCTTGTATTCAGCCACAAAAAGTAAAAATTGTGTCATTTATAGCAACATAAATGGTATTATTAGGACATTGTGTTAAGTGATACTATTATAAACAGAACTATTTCTTAATTTTCTTTTCATTATTCATTTTAGTGAATAAAAACAGTTAATTTTTGCATTTTGACATTATACCTTATAACTTCGCTTAATGTGAGTATTCTAATTGTACGTATGTATGTATGTGTAGGTAAATTCTAGTATTTTCTATAAATAAGATCATGCCTTCTATGATAAGAGATGCTTTTACTTATGTTTAGCTTGAATGCCTTTTTATTTCTATCTCTTTCCTAATTTCTAGGGCCAGGATTCCATGTATGTTGAACAGGAGTGGCAAGAATAGGAATCCTTTCATTGTTCCTGACTTTACAGAAAAGGTTTTCAGTATTTCACCACTGAGTATCATTCTATGTCTGGTCTTTTCACAGGTAATTTTTATTAGATTGAGGCAGTTTTATTCTATTATTAGTTCAGTAAGAGCTTTTGTTTTTGCTTTTAATCTTGGGAATGTATTAAATCTGGTCAAGCAATTTTTCTATATCAATTAAAATAATCACATGGAGTTTGTCTTTCATTCTGTTAATGTGATGTATTACACTGATTTTCACAAGGAACCATCCATACATTCCATGAATAAATCCTGCTTCATATGGTATATAATCCTTTAAATATTTGTTTCTAATAATTACCAAGTTGGTGTATTTGCCCACATATTTACCTTTACCAAAGAATCTCACTTTTTTTGTGGTGCGGGGATTGAACCCAGGACCTTGTGCATGCAAAGCAAGAGCTCTACCACTGAGTCACAACCCCAGCTCAACCTCACCTTTTTTTGGCTTCATGTTGCTGTCTCCTACCTTGCATTTCAAATAGAAGAATTCCACTTAGCATTTCTTATAGACATGGTCTAGTGGTAATGAAGCTTTTATCCAAGGAAGTCTTAATTTCTCCACTTTTGAAGAACATTGTTATTGTATACAATATTCTTTATTTATAGGGTTTTTCTTTCCACACCTTGAATATATCAACCTATCACACTGTCTTCTGGCCTACAAACTTTCTGCTGAGAAATGCAGAATTCTCTTGCTTCTTCTTTCACGATTCTTTTTTAAAAATTTAATTAACTTTATTGGTACAATTTATGTGTATACGATGATCACACTGATCATAGTGAATCTGAATCTGTACATGATACACCTTGATTTGTCTTTCTCCCACATTCCCCTCCTCTGGCTTCAACCCCTTCCCCTCTGTATTTATAAATTTTTGCTTCCATTTTATCCTTCTTTTTTCATTTGTTCTATTTCCTTCCTTTTCCTCTCCTACTTCCTAGTTTCCTTTTATTTTTTTAACAATTTCTTCCCATTTCACCATATCTCAATTGTACAACATACACATTTAGCAATAAATGTCTCAAGTTTATCCCTCTTTATGGCAGAGTAGTACTCCACTGCATATTTAAAAACTCACATCTTTTTTTTATTCATTCATCAGTTGAAAAGCCTTTGGGTTATTTCCAAGATTAGCTATTACAAACTGTGCTGCTGTAAACAAGAGTGTGCATATATCACTGTGGTATGTTTTTAATTCTTTTGGGAAGATACCAAGAAGGAGAATAGCTAGATCAAATTGGACCTCTAGTTCTAGATTTTTGCAGAATCTCCATGCTGATTTTTCCAGTCTCTATACTCCCACATAAAATAGAGAAATGTTTTATTTTCCCAGCAGAACCACCAGAATCTGTTATTGGTTGATTTTTTTTTATAATAGCCATTCTTTCTGGAGTGAGATGGAGTCTCAGTGTTGTTTTAATTTTGCATCTCTTGAATGATCAGTGCTGGTGAACATTTTTTCATGTATTTATTTGCCACTTGGACTTCTTCATCTGAGAAGTATGTATTCATCTCAGATGCTCTTTCTTGGATTGGATCTTTGAATTTAGGGGCTCTGATTTTTTTCAGTTCTTTATATGTTCTGGATTTTAGTTCTTTGTCTGAGGGGCAACTGGCTAAAATTCTTTCCCACTCTGTGGATTGTCTTTTCATTCTGTTGGTGATTTCTTTTGCCATGCAAAAACTTTTTAATAAGATAATATCTCAGTTGTTGATACTATGGTACTCTGAAAAAGGAGATCAAAAAGGATATCAGAAAATTGAAAAGGTATTCCTTGCACTTGGGTAGGAAAAACCAAAATAGTGAAAATGGCTGTACTTCCAAAATTTTTATACAGCTTAATGCAACCCCAATCAAAATGGCATCAACATACCTCACAGAATTAGAGAAAACAACCCTAAAATTCATTTGTAACCAGAAGAGATCTAGAATAGCAAAAGCAATTCTGGGCAACAAATGCAAGTCAAGGGGCATCACAATCCCCCTGACTTGAAATTATACTACACAACAACTCTGATAAAAACAGCATACAAGTGGCAAAAAAAAATATGAGGGATCAGTGGAACAGATTAGAAGATGCAGAAACAACTCCAAACACACCTGGCTGCCTTATCTTTGACAAAGGTGCCAGGCATGTTCACTGGAAGAAAGATAGTTTCTTTAATAAATGTGCTGGAAAAACTGGCTTTTCACATGCTGAAGACTAAAACTAGACCCATGTCTATCACCATGCACTAAACTAAAATCAAAATGGATCAATGATCTAAATATTAAAACAGAAACACAAAATCTTCTAGAAGGGAAAACAGGTAGAACGCTTGAAGACACAGGTGTAGGCAGAGACTGAATGAGCCAGATCACATGGAAAATACTTTAGAATCAAGATTCTTTTTCATTTTAGATAGTTTTATCATAATCTTTGTGTCATTCTCTCAGACTCTAGTTTTATCATAATGTGTCTTTGTGTCATTCTCCAGTGATTGAGTGTCTTAATTTTCCTAGTACATATTTTTAATACAGAATAGAGATATTCACATTAGAGAAGTGGGGCATGCCTAAAACATACCTTGATCATTTTCAGTCCTTTTTCCCCTTCTCCACTCTCCTTCCCTGTCTCCAAGAGTCTACCTTTTAAGTTTCCTATATCTATTTTATTCATTTATTTAAGTTTTTCATATAAGAAAAAACATATGGTATTTAACTTTCTACATCTGACATTATCTCATTTCTTTTTCCTGGCTGAAATTATGTATATTCTTTATCCATTCATTTGTTGCCATATATTTATATTGTCAGAACTTAATTGTTGTGAATTATGCTGCTATAAACATGTGAATGCACGTATCACTTTAACTCTTTCAGTAATATACCTAAAGTACAGTTCTGATAAGTTCTAGTTTTAGTTTTTGGAAGGACCTTCATACGGATTCCTCATCCGTATTTGTGTGTGTGTGTGTGTGTGTGTGTGCACATGTCCTCTTTTGATGACAGCCAATTTACTGGGGTGGTATGAAATCTCACAGTTGTTTCGATTTATATTTCTCAAATGGCTAAAGCTGTTGTGCAGGCCAGGGCTCTAGCTCAGCAGCATAACAGCCTGCGTGGCAAGCACAAGGTCCTGAGTTCAGTTCCTGGCACAAAAAAAAGAGCTGCTACACAGTTGCATATGTTTTCACTACTTATGCCATTATATTTCTTTTGAGAGGTATCTATTCAGTTCATTTACTTATTTCTTCATTGGGTCACTCGTTTTTGCAGGTGGTTATGTGTTTCTTTATATATTCTAGATATTAGTTTTTTATTGGAAGAGTAGCTAACAAAGCATTCTCTCATTGAATAGATTCTCTACACTCTATTGTTTCTTTTGTTGCATAGAAACTTTTTAATTTGATATAATTCCATTTGTTGATTCTTGGTATTATTTCTTGTGCTATTAGAATTCTATTTAGGAAGTCTTTGCTTATGGAGTGTCTCAAATTTGTGTGTCCATTTCATTCATCAAATTTAGAAAGCTTTCCATCCTCATTTTTTCAAATAGCTTCTTTGCTCCCTGGCACACCTATAATACATAAGTTGGTCTGTTTGATTATGTCCCACACAAGTCTTTTAAGTTGTCCTTTTCTCTTTGATCTGTTTTCTTTTCTGATTCAACTTCAATGACCTCCTTTTAAGTTCACCAATTCTTTCTTTTGCCTAATTATGCTGTTAAATCCCTTGAGTGAATTTTTCTGTTTTCTATTTTTTAACTCCAGAATTTTGGTTAGGTTTGTCTTACAACCTCATATATTTCTATTGAGTCTCATCCTATTCATCATTTTCTTGACTTTGGTTAGCTGTCTATATTAATTTTTAGCTTGCTGAGAATTTTTACAAAAGTTATTTAAAATTCTCTGTCTGGCGCCTCATAGGCATCCCCTTCATTAGGGTCCACTTCCAAAATTTTATTTTGGTCAATTTGATCATGATTCTCTATTTATTTATATACTTTAAAATCTTTTGCTGTGATATAGACATTTGAAAAACTTCTGCTCCAAGTCCTGGCATACCAGTTTCACACAGGGAAAGCGCTTCACTAATTAATCTATCAAAGGTTTTAGGAGGAATCTTTTCTTGTGTCTTCCTGTGGATCTGTAGTTCTAATGTTCATTCAGTGGTGCTTGCCTGTTTTCAACAGCTTCCACATTCTTCTGGTCCCTAAATTCTCCACATTGGGTCAGACAGAAATTAATCCCTCTAGAAGCCTCCATTCAAGCCAAATTGTTGGAAACATGATCCATGCTTTTCTGTCCTGAGATAGAAGTCCCGGTATAGGAAATTCTTTCCCAGTAGGATACCCTGTATTGTGTAGGGGTGCAAATATGTATGCAAATACTATGAATTTTTCTACCTCTTTGGCTGAAGCTCTGTCTTGGTTTGATATTGGCCTGGATGATGCAGCTCCTCAGTCTCTGGAGTTTTCACAGAGGAATTCTGGTTTATATACTGTTAATTTGGTGTCTTTATGAAAGAAGGAAAGCTTGTAGCTTTCTAACATGCCTTCTTGCTGACATTATTCCCTTTGTGAAAGGTTTACAATATTACTGTAACATTATGCCAGGGATTGGTAATATTCTGATGTGGTCCAGCTGATGGGTAATTCAATATCCATGCCTGGATTTGCTTCCTAGAAACACTGCTAATTCCAGTTCTCTCAAGTCCCTTGGAAATAGGATTTGAGACAAAGATTCTATTGTTGTGCTTTTCAAGAAAAAATATGTGTGAAGGAAAAGAAGAGAAAGAGATAATAAAGGATCTGTTTTTAGGTCAAATTTATTACTCAACTGATTTAGGAGGAAGGAGAAGCCTAGATTGTAAATCTTACCCTGAATTGTCCTAGTTTGATATAAGAGGAAAGCCTTTGTATAGTTAGTCGTGGGTGATCTGAGGTAGGAAACCTAACTTTTTTGTATCACTGAAGGTAATTTTTTATAGCAGAGGCAGCCATGAGCCACAAATGACAATACTTACAATATCTAGGGAATGTAGATAGGACAGC